CATGGTTATAAGCCCATTAATGGGAGACCAACAAGCAGAAAAAAACCCCCAAAACAACAAAGTTCTGTGAATTGCTGTCTAGTGGAGTAGAAGAATGAGAGCTAATAAATAGCATAAAATGAAAGTGAAATACAGCTACCTTCAAAATTGTACAATACTTAAGTAAATGAGAACTCCACTGACTCAGCATTGTGCTTCTATAATTTAGTCTGACTCACTTTACCCACAATGCTGCTGAGAGCCCGCAGTTCAGCCAGAGATTCTGGTGTGCTGTGCCAACCGTGCCTAACGTCAGTCAAAAGTCTGGCAACATCGCTTCTTGTCATTCCACTCCCTCTGATTTTATTCTATTTTTCAAACATTCAACAGGTTATGCAGCTCCCTCTGGAGAGACAAGTTTTTCCCACGTATACGTTAGTCCTCTCTAAGGGGGAAACCAGAGACCATGCAACACCAGGGACTTGTAGTGATGACTAGCAATAAAATTGCTCGTCCTCAACTTTAAACTGACACCATTTAACCAGTAGATACAGAGGATATTTCTGGTTAACACATAATAAGAAGGGAAAGACACAAGAAGTTTACCTACACAATCACAGCCAGGACTGTTTGCTACTGTCCAACTGACAGATACAAAGCAATCTTTTCACATCTTTTCAGATTTAAACAATAATTCTGTGATATTAGGTACAGAACAGGGGGACTATAGTTGGGTCTGGTAGTGATAACCTCTCTGAGCAGTACACAAACTCCACCACTGGAGCTTCAAGTGATAATCTACAAAATAAAATAAAATGCAGCTGTGGTCACCCTTTTCTGCTGCAACGATAACTGGTAAATACTGAAGAGATGTGTGAAGAGACAACAGAAACGTGAATTGTGCTGCTGGTATGGTTTCTGTAGCTGTTTGAAGGTTCTGTTTGTGAAGCCTGCTTGGCAGCTACATAATTACATCCTTTTTAGACTTCGTCCAAGCATGTTTAGCTCAGTGCTTTAAGTTAGTGCTTTAAGGTTTAAGTTCTAGACTATCCTGCATGCCTGTGATGTCCTATAACAGATAATCCCTGGTTCTGCCATACTCCACTAACAGAAAAATATGTTTTTGAACTGACATTTAGCTCCTGAGTTAGATAGCGCTTTGTTTCTTTTAGCCAGACAGTCTCGTAATGAAAAAGTTAAAGCACATAATTTGTTGCAAACTCTTACAGATGCCTAACGAGAGAATTTGAAAGCAATCAGTACCGCTCAGGATGAATTATTTAAACCGAGTGAACGCGTTGACCTTGCAAATTCTGTGAAACTCAGTCAGCAACACAGCTGTTGAGCATTTATGCCGGCCTTAACTGGTCTGTAAACGTGATGCTGATGTCCCTTTTATGTAAGAGGCAGAGAGAGAGAAATAAGAAACACAGAGGAAAAAAAATATGTGGGTGTCAGATTGAAATGAGATGTCAACATGCCAACAGCAATCTTCCCTGAATGTAAAATAATGTACACTTAACCATAAACAGCATACCAGCAATAACAATGGGCAACTCCCGCATGATTAATTCACTAAAGCCAGTTTTATAGGGAACAAATTAAGACTCTTGGTGTTTTTCTACAGTCTGTCTTCTTTTTATCTTCCTTTTTCTACCGCTTGTTTTCTGTCTCCTTTCTTCTCCATCCATCCACTCCTTCTCTGCTTTTGCATAACATCTCCGGCGCTACATTCACATTTAATTCACAGAGGTCCTGGGGGCGAACCAAAGCAGGTTTTAGACACAACTGCCAATCCACTTATCCACCCACCTATTGCTGACTGCAGAGCCTGACTGTGCAGTGGAAACACACACTTTTCTTTGTGTTATGTTTTCCTGCAGATCTATGGAGTATAAAGATGTACGTGCTTAGGAAAAACAAATATATCAACAACAATCGAAGACCAGCCCAGCGGTCGACCATTCCTTACTGTATGTCACCCAGGCTTGCAGCACGGTGGGATTTAAAGCCTTTCAGCTTAAGGTATTAATAAATGTTGACATAAACAGAAACAACTACATGAAAGCGCCAACGTAACTCGACAATAGGTGTCTGAAATCAATCTTCTGCTTCAGCAGCCAGCGCCTGTAAGTAAAAATGAACTCTGTCACTAAAAGGTGTGATTTGTGATTAAAACCTAGTCAAACGCACACATAGAAACACACACAGAAAAAATTTGAAAATGTCCCAACCTGGTAGCGCCAAGCAAAATTTTAAAATGTAAAGTCATAGGTGAAAGAAGGGGATGCGGTGGCTAGATACTATAAATACTATATTAGCATTGGTAAGCATTTAGCTAGTGAACTAGCTAAACTAACCATCATCAGGCACATAACCACAACTTCTGATTTTAAATCACTGTCAATTAGCTAAACACAATACATGTTAAATGCAAACATGGCATTAGAGTACTTACTAAGGCATCGACTCCTGGACATTAAATCTAATTCCCGCTACAAGTCAGAGCTTTTGCTGCTCAGCGCTATTGCTAATGGCAAGGTAATATAATACCTTCTAAAGCTAGTGAAACAGGTAGTTAGCATGTACAGTATGTACAGTTGGGACTGTTAGACAATGTGAACGATAACAAAATAATATTTTAGTCTCTGTTTAGTTAACTCCTAGCTTAGCCTAGTAAGAAAAGGGCTTTAGCTGGTGTAAATAACACATTTGTCAATATGCAATTGTAAATTGAAATGGCATTTATGTTGTGGTTTTTATTCTTAACAGGTGTCCACACAGGCCGCGGTGACCATAGACGATTCAGTGGCATTAAGCGACTTCAATCAACGATAGCTAAAGTAACAGCTGGCGATGTGGAAAGAGCAGCTCCCAAAGTTAGATTTTAAAGGTAAGCAAAAGAACCAATTAATTAAGGATTAGTTTACAGTACAGTGGTAGTGTCCATTTGGGGAGGAATTTATTGTTCAACTACTAGTTCTTCAAAATCCCAACTGCAAATTGTTTGACATGGACGATGCTATGCGACAGTCAAAAGCTGATCTGCTGACAAGTGGTCCAGAGCAGGAAGGGAAAAACAAAGTACATACAGTGGCTGCACTTTTCATTTCTTTTAACACCTGGTATCCATTTAGCTCCTTGTTTGTTGTAACTTCTCCGCAGCTGCCTGATGTATCAACAATAACACGAGGAAAAGTAGCACACAGACAGATTGTACCACATATTTTTGACTTTGCCCCCTGACAAAAGACGCTCACTGTGGTTCGACAGGCAAGTCCGAAGCTGCCCACAGACTGCTAACGGACTAACAACATGCTACGCCCAGTGAACCATAATTTTTCCCACTGGATGTACCTGTGTGCCAATTTCTGTTGCTCACCTTCTGAGCAAGTAGGAGGAATTGGTTTATTATAGTAAGATTATAATCCTGATATCAAGAGGTCCTGAAATGTCCATATGTAACTAGGTGCTGGAGAAACACTCAAACTAGATCAATGAAATCACTTACTGGCAACTTCATTAATGTTATTATTTACATGAGTCCTTCATGGCAGACTTGAAAAATGATTGTTAAGTATCCAGACAGACAAACAGGAGAAGAAAAAAACTGCAGGAAGCTTGAAAATGGAGTATGAATCCAAAGACTAAAGGGAAGTCCACCCCAAAAAAGATCTCCATAAAATGTTATTATGCGGTCTTTTAATTGATCGAGCCCGTGTGCTGTAAACTTTGTGGTTTTATTTTCAATAGACTGATCAAATCAAGAAGTTTAAAGTAGTCATATCAGGTACCCCTGTTTCCAGATGTAAAAGCCATGTTACTTTATCTATTTTATAATGTTATGTGACTTACTCTTAAGTAATAGCACCAAATCACAACAACAGTCACCTCAAGGTGCTTTCTATTGTAAGACCCAACAATAATACAGAGAAAAACTCAACAATCAGAGAACCTCCTACGAGCAAGCACTTGGCGACAGTGAGAAGGAAAAACTCCCTTTTAACAGGCAGAGCTTAACTCACACTGACTTACACTTCTTCAACTTCGATCACATAAAACTTTCCAGTTAATCTTAAAAGAAATAGCAAAGAAATAGCCAAAAATCTCTTTTTTTTTCGTAGAAAGTAAAAGATAGAAGCCTGTGTACATAAAAAACAACCTTATTGTTAACCCCAAGTGGAATTAAATCAGGACAGGTGCAAACTAAACACGACAGCTCTTACAGCTCTCAGCACCTCCAAGCAGGACAGTGTTCCCCAGCATGGAAAACCTACTCAAGAAACCTGTTCTGACTCTACGAACATGACGAGGAGCCCATGACTTTGAACCAACCTTCAAAATCTTAGAATTTCAATCTGATCGCGCCTGTTTTGGATGCACCCAAATTATGTGTTGCCAGTGTGCTAGTGCCAGACACCAGCAGACACCCATAAGAGTCCAGTGTCTACGCCTCAACAGATGGAAGCAGTTTTTTTTTTTTAGGGACGAGCCATATTAAGGTGGTCTTATTGTTACAGTTCATATACTGAATGTGAGTTTAATGTCATATTATGGGTTAAATGTTTTCAATTTCACGCTCCAATCGCAGCTGTACCATCAAAAATAATTCATTTGCTACCCCATGATTGGTCTCTTCTCAACAGCTGCAGCAGAAGAGTCTTGGGCGTAATGTAGTATTTTAAGCCAAGATGACAGAAAGAAAAGCTAAAATACTGAAATCTGGTTACATTAACTACATAAACCTATGGGATTGCTAAATTCTGTTTTAACCATTTTCAAAAGAAGATGGGAACACAGGCAGAAACTTCGGCTGCTTCTCAAATTCACTGCTTTGCTCAGATCTGATTGGCTCCCAGTCAGAGAGTTTATGGCGATGTTCAGAAGTGATATTTCTTCCTCCTCCAAAAACAGATTTCGCCAGTATGTTTGGCAAGTAATAACTTGACAATGTTTGAGACAAAGACTTCTCACTTTGTTGAAAATTCAGGTCGTCAAGGAGACCAACTGATGTTACTCACCCACTGAGCACGACTATGAAGTCCATGACGTTCCAGCCATTCCTTAGATAGGAGCCTTTATGGAAAACAAAACCAAGTGCCACCAGCTTGATCCCTGCCTCGAAGCAGAATATCCCAATAAAGTATGGCTCAGTCTTCTCCTGCGGGAATGACATGCATATATGAGTCAGCAGGGTCTTCAGAAAAGTCATTTTACACTTTCAAATAGACAAATATACAGACTGCACTTGCTTAGACAGACAGAAGAATGAACAATAAGTAAGATATTTAACAATGCTTCTTTTATACCTCGTGTCTTAGAGTGAATGGAAACAATTGAAATTAAACTTCCTTGACTTAAGAAGAACGTGGGAGAGGGGAGTGAAGTGGGGGAAGTGTGTTTGGTGAAACCTTAATTACCATTTCCAAAAACTGTTTTCTTCCTCCGCCTCCTGCTCCTAAAGTAATAATCTCAGCGAGGAAGGTGTGGATGAAGTGGAAAAGCTCTACGGCTCATACTGCACAGTAAAACATCACCCACTTCTCAGAGATCCAATTAGGTCTAAAGAATTTGATGTAAATGTCTTACATATTCTAATTCACTCAGTTATGTCACTTTAGCCACCCTGTAACTCCTCACTGCCTCCTTATTCAAATCTAATAATCTCAACTGGCAAATGGTTAATCTGCATGCAGCTAATTGTGTGCTCTTAACTCAAAGGGATGTTCTTTTCATTGATATTATAAATCTTTACATCATTATTGAAACCTAAACATATTCTCATGGTGACAGTCACTCAGCTTTGTTTCTTATCACAGACTGTATATAAAAGATGGACACCTGAAAAGTAAAGTCAGTGTGGAAGTTCCTTATACTGGTATTTATTGCTACTGACCAGCAGGGGGCGGTAACTCTGGTTGCTAAAAAGAAATCTATAAGTGATTGGCCTTACATCTCATTTAATTTACTACATCACTTTTTTTAACCTATATTATTAGATATAGTGAACTCCATCGCTGTATATATCCTTGCAAAATGTGGTCACCTGGTTAACTTGTAAGCTAAACTGGTGCTCCAGTTATTAACTTTTCCTACCTGGCAAAGGTAGTACAGCCACCATGTCCATGTTGATGACACAGTCATGCTAGCTGTTACTTCCATTTCAATAACATATCACTACATAGGCTCTGGGACTTCCAGATTATACAGAAACATGTTGGAAAAGCTTGAAAAGATGAGACTTTATGGAAGAAAAATTGCAGTTTTTTTGTTTCAGATTTCAACTTCTTCTACTCCTATACCAGAACCCATGTGGAGGTTTTGTCAATATAGTAACCCTTGTTATTCAGGAGATTACTGCAGCGCCCTTAGCACCAGTCTACACAGTATAATCACAGCTAGCTGGCTACACAATCCATGTGGCAGTCCTAAACAAGGCCAATATAATTTAGAGCTTTAGAACATGGCTAACTTGTAATTTTGTTTTTTTCAGAGCTGCCCGTGTTTTTATGATGTATGGTGTCAAAACACCCAAATGGCAACAGCCAGAAATGTTCAGCTTAAGGCATAAAATGGAATTTTACAAGCTAGTGGGTGAGAGCGTGATGGCTGTGTACATCTTTTATATACAGTCTACATTTTGTACACCCTGTGT